AACACTTGTGTACAAATAGGGGACTCAAAGGTAATTTACCTACATATCCCTCAATATACTGATACTGAACAACGTACTCCCAGCGGCCGCGGGAAACTAATTCGACTACATTTTTTTTCACTTTACACTTACTTCTAAATATTTCCTTCCCTGCCTATCCTATATCTTGCCATCCCAAAAACGCTATAGCCACCGTATCCGTAGGACATAATGCTAGGACTAGGGGTATATGAGATGCACTACATAAATTACTTCTGCCCTGTGTTCTACATGTGACCATAATCCTAACCATCTGTAAGCTGCTCGAAACCAAAAACGAACCCCCCCTATCCAAACTTTACTGAAATTTAGTCCAACGTCACCGGCAATGTGGTGCGGGCCCAAATGTGTATAACCTACTGGTTGAAAATGGCTGAAATTCATCGCTTTTGGGAACATTTTGTTTTTGATGGCCGTTCATCTGGTTGCCGTCATTCAACTAGTCAGTGGTGAAAGCCACTTCAATTTGCATACAACTCAGCCCCTGCATGGTGCCACATTCCGGATCCAAGCGCAAAGAAACGTGGGTACATTATGTGGCCTTGTAACTGCGGGACAGTCACCTTGTGACTATCCCGGTTCCTAAATAGTGAAGTATTTTGTTTTGTATAAGCTTTTCTATATTGAAATATGCCGTATTGTACCATTTCATGCAGAAAAACTGAATCGCTTTGTGCAGAAATTGCCTAAGTATTATTCAAAAACAGGCAGCTCAATAATTTTGGGAGATAGACTATATTTAATCTACCATTCCTAAACATTTTCAAAGGAACTTGTACCTTTATGACCGTCATTGTGGCCGACAAATCACAGCAAATACTGGCGGCTTGCTGACGAGCCGCAACCCTTACAGTGGCGAAACCTAGCTGAAAGAATAGGAGAAGCTTGCGCTCAGGTCTTAATTTAACATCCACGTTGGGTGATTGGTGAATAAATTTTTCCTAAGAGCGGCGATGCCCTAAATGGAAAGATGCGGTTGATAGGAATGCGAAGATCATATTTATGATCCGGTTTCGAATTCGTGTTTTGCTACGCTGCTCACAAGAGGCAGATAAACATGCACTTCCGACAACAATCTTATATTCTCAACAATAGTCTATTTGGGGAAGAGCGAGGGATTTGAAAACTTTGTTCGTGTTCTGTACAGACTGCATAACTGGTTATTCATGAAGAGCATTCGGTGCCTGAGCTGACCGCGGGCATTTGAAAGGGTTTATATGACAATATAACTAACTCTTCCCTTCTAATAGTAAGGTACCTAGTGCTACCTGTTTGGTCTCTGTCATCGTGTTCTATACGTATCACCTGTGTGCATTTTGAACCAGTGTAACAGGCCAGGAGATGGGCCGGGTTGTTTAAGAGCATTGAAGTCGGTACTTTGGTGCGAGCTCAGGATGGGAGCGGCGTGGTCAAGGGTCAGTGAAGAGGTCGGTGTCCGTTTTCCCTCACAACTGCTGATTCCCCATCTCAACACATGCCGTCGTCGCAGTCGTAGCGTCTTCCTTCGTTCTGTGTCAGAATTCCCATGTCCCGCCCCTGCAGTTGTCCCGAACGCTGCGCTCCCCACTGGTGATCGAACAGTCATGACAGAACCCTCCCCATTCCAGATGGGATCAATGTCTATGTAACGCCCTTCCCTTGTTATATATTATTTACTTATCATGTACGTGTACGCTTGCTACTAATAGATCACTGTTCATACATTCTTCCTATCTGTTATCCTGACATTCACACTTGTGTACTTGGTATGGCGCTTATCGATCCAGTTCAGAGCTCCAAATGACTGAAAATTTTTCAGGTCTCTTATCCGCTTCTGCGTGTG